TTTTTCAAAATCAAAATTAAAATAAATTGAACTAAAAATAATTTCGATCAACTATTATAAAGAAAAATGTATTTTATATAGAGATGCGGGTAGTGTTATTTTTGAAAATAATTTCCAACATAAAACTAATGGAATTGTTTTTGTAATAAAATGAAATACACTTTTTATTTATTTACTCATTAAATTTAACCCAATTTAAATGAAATAGTCAAATGAAAAAGCACTCTAAAAAGAAAATACTTCATAATACGTAGTAATAAAGAAACAAAGTATTTGCCTGATGTTTGCAGGTGGTCATTAATGGTGAGTCATTTGCAGGTGGAGATCATTATTTTGAGACAGACAGTTTCAGGTACTTTATATTTCAGTTTCATTGGCCGTGTTTCATATTTCATGTCAATCACGCACAATTTAGGTGGCAGTACATGCAAGAATTTTGTTTTATATTTTTCGGATTATTTCATTTTGTTGGATGTAATTATTGGCCACTATATGGATACTGGACTTGCTCAAAAATGAAAGTATTGGTTCATATGAGAGATATTCTACACATTGGTTAGAACATGAAAATTAATTTGAAAAATTTTAAGATCCTAAAAAAATCTTCAAAATAAGATTGTTAGATTTTCTATCAATTCGCTGATTCTTAAGGCCACCGTTTACCATCTTCCAGTGGTTAAAATATGTCTGCATCAATTTTTTTCAACTGTTAAAATTGGATGATCCGGTAAAGGTCGAAGTTACACTGCAAAAGATGACTGAAGTAGAATGCTACATCTCAGAACTTGCTTTGTGTTAAGTATAAGGTACTTAGTTCAACTATTGTCAGTCATAGCCAGTATACATACTATTCTGGGATGTATGTGCTTTTGCTCACAAATCATTTGTAAATCCTTATTCCTTAAAACNTTAGGTCAACTTTGATGGAATTTATTTTTATTGTTTAACAGGTATTCGATATTTGCGTACGAATGTTTTGTACAAATCCACCATAGTAAAAATGAGAAAAAGTCAAAATAGAAAGATTAAATCCGAACAGAGAAAGTGAAATCCAAAAGAAAAGAGTTTTGATTTCAATTGTGTGTATGGATTCAATTTTCTAATAAAATATTTCCAACCGTAGAGATTGATATGAAAAAGTTGGGGTTCGCTAACAAAAAGAGAGTACCTTATGAACTGTAATTTTTTTTACCAACCAAGCACATTGAATCAGCTCCTGCATCTTTGTTCTATCAATTTAATCTGTTTCAGTTTGTTATGGTAACAAAGTTGAGGGTATGTAATACTCAACGGTTATTCTTAGAGCCTCTTATAGCTTAAAGTATAATCCTATGGTTTTGTGAAGTTTTCATCTCACTTGCAAATATATGGTTTTGATTTTTTTACCTTTGATGTAGCAAAGCAGTGTTTTTGTGGATGCTACTTGCTTATGTACATTGTATGTACACCAGTAGGTTATAACTGGATGCGTAAATTTACAGTAATAAGTAACATTGTTTGTTGTTATATCCATATTTGGTTTTACTTATAAGGATATATGTAGGCAAAATTAGCACTTGGAATCGGTGAATGAGAGACTTCGTAGTGAACCTGAGATTTGTTTAAATCAACATATAGCCTGGGCTTCGCATCTATCGTTGCAGGTGTGTACTAAAATTTCATTTACAAGCTGCAACATAAGTGGACCAATTGTATTCCAACAAAAAAAGAAGGCATGGAATTCATAGTTGTTGCTTATCTTATGTAAATTTCCTTTTCTTTTACCATGCTTAGTCATCTCATCCTCTTAAGTTGTCTTCTTAACCATATCCTCTCTTTCTCAAAGGTAAGGAGCCATTTGTTACGATACCATGCAACCCAATTATTACGTTTCTTCCATTTGGTAATGACTTTCCCACTAACCCCGAAGAAATATTTAAAACTTAGTGGGCGTTAGAGCTAGCGGGGAAGTGCTGATCATTTTATTAGCAACGAACCTAAGTGTAGGGGAAATAAAATGCCTTTTTAACATTTCAAGAGAGTGTCCCTCTCTTCGATTGAAGTCGTCCGTCTCCGATTGAAGATGCCTTCCTCTGGTTCCGTCTCCAGCTCCCCAATCTTGATTCTTGCATTTTGCAATTCAGCCCCCAGGTATTATCTTTCTCTTTGAAGACTTCCAACATATCACTGGCATTTTTTCATTTTTAATAGCAATTTACAAGTAATGCTGCATCTTTATGCAGATTGGTGGGCCAAGTTTAAAGCAAAGTAGAGGCGGCGAAGAACAAAATTAACAGAAAACGTGTGTCTTGCCTATTGTTGGATCTGTAGGATTCGAGGTGTGGTTTTACAGTAGTATTTATATGTGATTTTGTTGATTTGTTCATTTTATAATTCAGCGGCCTACCTAAACCTGATACAAAATGAATATGAACATCTCAACCTTTAATAACGGTACATCTTAAGGTTATACTTTTTGGAAAAGAGTTAAAGACTTTGGTAGCAGCACTGTGCATTATGAGATGTCTTAGACATTTAAATTTGTCAACATGAAATTTGTCATATTAAGGGAAACATAGGGTTATACGGTTGGTGACTACTTAGACTTATGTTTGTAATTTTTCATGGATTTAATATTGAAAGGAGGTAAAAGTATCACCATGAGGGGAAGTGAAAGGAATGTTTAGGGAGTGAGTTTCGATTATTCAAGCACCGAAATTGGTTATTCAAAATGTTTGGATTCCGACTGTATCTTCCCTGAAGATGAAATGAGAGCAGCCCGCTGCTTCAACCAGATACGGATGAAGGGTAGGTGAGGGTAGGCATTAATTATTCGCTGACTCACACAATTATATTTTATACTCTGTACTTGTAAAAAATTTACCCTTTCCATTTCTAATTATTTCAGGTTTCAAAACCTTTTGTTTCCCAATTTCCTTGGATGAAACTTCTTAAGGTTGTGTTAGTTATAATTTTATCATTTTCATAAATACAAATTTTTGATTCACAAATCTTATTACGTTTTAAGCTGTTTTTCTCAAGCGTCCCCTAAATATTGTTGGAGGCTGGAGTTTTATATTTGCCAAAGGTATTAAGGTAATCTACCGTTAAACTATGACAGACACGCCTTTAGAATTCTCTCTTCCCCAACATATGCAACCTCAATCTCAGGGCAAATAAATCTCAGTGCGTAAGGAGCCCACATCACTTAAGTTGTATGTGACTTTTCTTTGTGGCTAGCAAAATGGCGTTGCTTCCTTAGGTCAACTTTGATGGAATTTATTTTTATTGTTTAACAGGTATTCGATATTTTCGTATGAATGTTTTGTACAAATCCACCATAGTAAAAATGAGAAAAAGTCAAAATAGAAAGATTAAATCCGAACACAGAAAGTGAAATCCAAAAGAAAAGAGTTTTGATATCAATTGTGTGTATGAATTCAATTTTCTAATAAAATATTTCGAACTGTAGAGATTAATATGAAAAAATTGGGGTTGGCTAACGAAAAGAGAGTACCTTATGAACTGTAATTTTTTTATCAACCAAGCACATTGAATCAGCTCCTTCATTTTTGTTCTATCAATTTAATCTGTTTCAGTTTGTTATGGTAACAAAGTTGAGGGTATGTAATACTCAAAGGTTATTCTTAGAGCCTCTTATAGCCTACAGTATAATCCTATGGTTTTGTGAAGTTTTCATCTCACTTGCAAATATATGGTTTTGATTTTTTTACCTTTGATGTAGCAAAGCAATGTGTTTGTGGATGCTACTTGCTTATGTACATTGTATGTACACCAGTAGGCATGCTCCATGTTTATAATTGGATGCGTAAATTTACAGTAATAAGTAACATTGTTTGTTGTTATATCCATATTTGGTTTTACTTATAAGGATATATGTAGGCAAAATTAGCACTTGGAATCGGTGAATGAGAGACTTCGTAGTGAACCTGAGATTTGTTTCAATCAACATATAGCCTGCGCTTCGCATCTATCGTTGCAGGTGTGTACTAAAATTTCATTTACAAGCTGCAACATAAGTGGACCAATTGTATTCCAACAAAAAAAGAAGGCATGGAATTCATAGTTGTTGCTTATCTTATGTAAATTTCCTTTGCTTTTACCATGCTTAGTCATCTCATCCTCTTAAGTTGTCTTCTTAACCATATCCTCTCTTTCTCAAAGATAAGGAGCCATTTGTTACGATACCATGCAACCCAATTATTACGTTTCTTCCATTTGGTAATGACTTTCCCACTAACCCCGAAGAAATATTTAGNCTTAACGTGTATACAACAATAAGAACACTCAAGAACAAAACTCTCTTTAAGAGTGGATGTTGAGTAAACTATATACGCTCAAGAACAACTCAAACTTCACAAATTGGCTCTAGAAAGCTATGGAAAATAATGTTGTTTGGATGCAATGATAATATGAATATTGTGAAGTGAATTGATGATAAAAGGAGACCCAAACACCCCTTTTTATAGTGCCAAAATAGGCTCCAACGGACCAATGCATTAAAGGGGTGATTGGCTTGATTTATGGGATTGAATAAATTTGGGATCTGCAGGATATTGACTTCCCATCGATGTTTGGAACATATCCATCGCTGGTAAGTCAATTTTCCTTCAGTTTTGAAGCCAACGGTTACCTACCCATCGATGGGTACAAGCTTCCCATCGCTGGGTGGGAGGTTGACTTCCAAACAAGGAAAGAATCAACCTTAAATGACTTCCAACGGTCATGCCTTCCCATCGATGGTTTATCTTCGTTCTTCGCCTTGTATATTCAATGACTAGTCTCTTTCTCGGTGGTTTGGCATTATCAAAACCTGTCATAAAGACGAACACGGCTTTAGTACAAAAATGTGACAAACCCGTGTTTCAACAATTTCCCCCTTTTTGATAATGGCAAACAAGACGAGGTTATGCATAGGAGGATTTAAAAAAAATGTTCCCCCTTAGTAAATATAATTTGATTTTTAACAAAGTGTTTGAGAGAAAAAAAATTCCCCCTCAATTAATGCATAACCTTTATATCTTCCCCCTTTTGTCATTAACAAAAAGATTTAAAAAATTTTTTTATTCATTAAAAGGGAAATGCGGAATACAACGGAATGGAAATAATTAAAAAAATACAATCATATTAAAAGAAAGAAGATTCTAGGAGTCGGCATCGGCGTCCTCGTCGTCATCCTCGTCGTCCTTGACGTCCATGGGATCGCCGTCGACCGCATTTTCAAAGTCGGCCTCTTCGGGGGAGGAGGACGGAGCGTAGGAGTCGTCGTCCTCATCCTCGCCTTCAAAGTTTTGGTCGAGAATGGTGTTGTCGAAAGGTGGCAGAACGTAGTTGACGCCACGGAAGTATGCCATCATGTCGTGGTGTTGGCGTTGCAACGTCCAGTCCATCCGCTTGATTGACTGCCCGATGCCATCCACTGTGAGGGTTAGCCGATTCAGGGTGTCGGCTATGGATTGCAAAGAGGCCTTGGCGGGAGCGGGGGCTGGTGCACGACTTGGGCCTGCGCCGTCTCTGTTTCCGGACTTCTTCCGGAAGGTGCTGTCAGCGATCATCCAAAGCTTCGTCATCTTCGTGTCTGGCCTGGCGATGTGGATATCGGCGGAGACGATGATGTCCATCATGAGGAAGGCGTACGGCAAGCTCCGCTCGGTGGCGAGTGAGGCGCAATCCGCCATGTGTATCATGACAAATTTTGCCCAATTGATGGAGGCGCCGTGGATGATTGCATGAATCGCCTTCAAGTCCTCGTTGAATAGCGAGGTATGGCTGCTGTCCCGGGGGCGAAGAATACGGGTGATGATGTAGAGGAGGAGGCGCTTGTCCGGTGGGGCTGAGTGAATCGTCGGCGCGCCGCTGTGGCGGATCAAGTTGGTGATCCCAAGCTCACGATGACGACCGCCTCGTTGTTGAGGATCCAATCGTCGCCACCATATGTCGCGATGTCGTCACCGCGGATGGGCAGCCCTGCGATCCATGCAAAGGTAGGCAAATCAATCTCTACGTCGTAGAGATTGATGCTGCTGCGGATGGTGTCCCTGTCACGGCGGAGATTGGAGTAGAAGGCCCGGACAAAGGTGGGATTGTAGGATTGACGGCTCCTAGAGACGAACGACCACAGACCCGACGCTTGAAGCAGATTGTCGAGGTCGTGGTACCCCTTTTCTTGAGGGTATAGCTCGGGCAGCACCCTGGGCGGAGAAATCGGGCATTTGGCAAAGTGATTGAGGAAGCGCGTGAGTTCTTCCTCTGAGCCAAATTCGAGGAAGGATCCATCCAGGTACAGAAAGGGTTGAGGCGCAGAGGTTGTGGCCTCGGTAGGGCCTTTCTTCTTGGATGCCTTTGACTTTGATCTTCCCCCGGCCATAGTTGTGGCGTTTTTGAAGAAAAAAGGAGATAAAATATTGAGATTTGGATCAAGGAATGAAATTATGATGTTAATGATGTATTAGAATGAGCAAATATGAGGGATATATATAGGGAATGAGAGATTAGGCCGTTTGGATTCAAAAATATAGCTGTTAGGCAATTAATGTGGTGCCCAACGGCTCTGAATTTTTGAAATGCAGATGCCTTCCCAGCGATGGTACGATCTACCCATCGATGGAAAGGTCGCCACTGGAAAGCGAGGAAGAACCCAAGGCTGCCTTCCTAACGATGTTTGGATTTTCCCATCGATAGGAAGGTGGCTTCTGGAAGTTTACGAAGAAAAGAGCATGGCCTCCCCAGCGATGTTAATACCATCCCATCGCTGGGTTGGTAGTTTTGAAAATCCGTTAAATTTTTTTTTTAAAATAGTGTCAAACACCCAGCGATGGGAGGAAGTTCCAATCAATGGGTAGGATGGTTCTGAAAAAAAAATAAACTAAAGTCATTCACCCAGCGATGGTACAAGGTTACCATCGATGGGTAGTGGACTTCTGGAAATCCGTTAAAAAGTTTTTAAAAAAATGGAGTCAATCACCCATCGATGGGAGGAAGTTCCCATTGCTGGTAAGAGGAGTTCCGAAAAAAAATAAACTTCCCTCCCAGCGATGGTATGAATCCACCCATCGCTGGTTCCCCCTGATTTCTAGATTTCTTTACTTCGAACCGTCCCTGAAAAAAAGAAACGCTTTGGTACCCAGAATATGTCTATGGGTCCTTGGGGGTTAGTTAACCTTTATTGCCCACATACACACCCAAAATTAGTTTCAATACGCCCACACACACACACACTTGCGCGATTAGATGATTGTTTAGGAGTTACCTTGCCCAACCCATCGTCTCGTGGTCGACGGGTTCCAATCTACCTGAACGGAGTGCCGATATCTCGGTGTGATTTGTGTCGGTTCCGGTAACGAAATGTGGACATTCTTCTTTTCGTCAAAGTAGAAGAAATAATAAGGTTTCTTTTGTGCATTGTCTTGTGGAGATTGTTTATGATACGAATATCCTTTTCCAAAGGATTTCTTTTTGTTAGCACCAAATATGTTGTGTGTTTCATTATAGGTGAAGTGCCTATGTCTAGTAAAACACACGGGAGCTACATGTCCTACTCTATTGCAATAATGGCATACTACGTTTGGGTTGAACATATGCCTACATTGATAATAGCTAGGGGGCCTAACCATGTTTGTCCTATTTTGAGAAAAAGATGGTTTATGTATGTTTTCAAAAGGATCATTTCTAGGTGTTCTCGTATTGTCTCTTCTATTTTGAGAAAAATTATTTTTATGCACAAAATCATTTTGATAATTTTTCTTAGGCTGTCTACCATGAACATTTTCATTCCTAGGTTTTTGTCTAGGGTGTCCAGTGTTCTTAGATTGACTAGGTTTTCTATTAACATGATTTTTAGCTTTCTTACGTTGAGCCTTAGGGGGTTGTCTAGGTGTTTGCTCAACGTTTTCTTTATCCTTAGCTTCATTTTTATTAAAATTTCTTCCTTCTTTAGAAAAGTGCATAGTGTCAAGGAGTAAATTAAGATCTTTGTGCGGAGTATTAAATTTCTTAACTGTGCTCTCAAGTTTTGTGACTTGTTCTTTCAAAGCTATGCAAGTGTCATAATGTTTCGTAGAGCTCTCGGGTTTGTCGGCGCTTCTTTTACCATAAAACTTATTTTCCACTTTTAGTTTTTCGTTTTCCTTTTGAAGTTTTTCAAGGTCAGTTTCAAGATTAGAAAAACATTTCTTTAAAGCTTTGTTGGTTTTAGAAGCGCTAACAAACTCGTCACAAAGCTCTTGGAGAGCTTCTTGCATTTCTTCAAGAGAATAAGAAACGGTAGAAGAATTACATACCTCTTGGTTTTCGTCGTTGGCGGACTCCTCTTCTTCTTGAGCTATGAGACAAAGGTTTGCTTCTTCGTCTTCCTCTTGCTCGCTTGACTCATCGCCGGAGTCGCCACCCCAAGAGATATATGCCCTTTGCCTTTTGAAGTGCCGAGCATTCCTTCCGCTTTTCAGGCATTTGTTCTTGATGTGCCCGGCTTCACCACATCCATAGCACACAATGCCATCCTCAACCTTTTCTTTCTTTCTTAGAAGTTTTCAAAACTTCTTCATGACAAGCTTCACTTCATCATCATCGCTTGAGTCATTCATTGTCGGTTCTTTGGAGGCTTTTAATGTTATGCCTTTTCTCTGGTCATTCAAAGACGGGTTAAGTATAGTAGATTCATACGTTTTTAAGTTACCTCTTAAACCGTCGATGGTGACATTTGATGTGCCGATTGACTCATAGATGGCATCGGCCTTAGATCGCCATTTGGATGTCAAGCTCCGTAGGATCTTTCGCACAAGATCCCTATCGGTGTAGGTCTTCTTCAATGCATGAAGATCGTTGATTATCTTGGAGAATCGGTCGAACATGTCGTCGATGTTTTCGTGCTCCTTCATTCTAAACATCTCATACTCTTGGGTGAGGAAGTCGATCTTGGCTTCACGTACTTGGTCTGTTCCTTCGTACGTCACCTCAAGTTTATCCCACATCTCCTTGGCGGTTGAGCAGCAAAAGATTTTGCGGTAGTCATTAGGATTTATGGCACAATAAAGCATGTTTATTGCCTTTGCATAATTCTCGACCTTTTTGATGTCCTCCGCATCAAATTCATCTTCGGTCTTGGGGATCAATTTGTCCTCGACTTTCTTCATCAGCACCTCTTCCCCGTTTTTCTATTGGTTGGTATTAACCTTCAAGCACCTTGCTTATATCTAAGAGTAAGCAAGAAAGGTTATACATATTAACCAAGGTAGTTTTTCTCCACCGGCACATCAACTAACTGGAAGAGGTTAGGGACGTATTTCTAAAGATCTTCTTCTTGGGTACTAGCGAAATGAGAGTTTGCCAATTCATTGGACGCGAGTTAGGCTCCGATACCAATTGTTAGAATAAGTGACCAACGCTAGACGGGGTGAATAGCGTTTGATCGTAGAAATCGCAGGAATAAAAATTTAAGAATGTGAAATGTAAAGAGCGTAGAAAGCGTAAAGGGAGCACACTAAGATTTATACTGGTTCACCACAACGTGTGGCTAATCCAGTCTCCCGAGAGACTCTCTCGAGCTACACTACTTCCGTTAAGCTTACGGGTGCTTAACAAACCGTTACAACCTGAGAACTCGAGTCCCACGAGCCTCAACAACACTTGCTCGGTGATATCGCACTCCAAGACTTCAACTCGAAGGAAAATACCTTTCCTTCGTACAACCGAGGGAAACAAGCTTCCCTTAACGTGTATACAACACTAAGAACACTCAAGAACAAGACTCTCTTTAAGAGTGGATGTTGAGTAAACTATATACGCTCAAGAACAACTCAAACTTCACAAATTGGCTCTAGAAAGCTTTGGGAAAAAATGTTGTTTGGATGCAATGATAATATGAATAATGTGAAGTGAATTGATGATAAAAGCAGACCCAAACACCCCTTTTTATAGTGCCAAAATTGGCTCCAACGGACCAATGCATTAAAGGGGTGATTGGCTTGATTTATAGGATTGAATAAATTTGGGATCTGCAGGATATTGGCTTTCCATCGATGTTTGGAACCTATCCATCGCTGGTAAGCCAATTTTCCTTCAGGATGTTTGACTTCCAAACAAGGAAAGGATCAACCTTAAATGACTTCCAACGATCATGCCTTCCCATTGATGGTTTATCCTTACCATCGATGGGGTAAAGTCCCCATCGCTGGGTAAGGTCGTTCTGCCTTGTGTTGATGTTGGACCAAGGCTTAAACAGCGATGGGTAGAACTTCCCATCGCTGTTTGGCATGGTTCTGGAAGTTGGTTTGGCTAAGGGACTGCTTGCCCATCGATGGGAAGTTCTTCCCATCGCTGGGTGGGTGGTTAGCCAAAAACCTATGGTTTTTGCCTTAACCACGACCTAGCCAACCGATGCAAAAACCGACTGAAAAATCCAAAGTTCTCCAAAATAAATACCAAGTGTTTAAAACACTTATTTGATGTATTTGGCTAAGAAATCAAGTGAGACATTTTAAAAACCACGTCATTTGGGTAAAAACCACGGCTAGCCAAGTTTATGCCGTTTTACGTGGTTTTTGCCAAACGACCAAAACCGAAAGGTGGTTTTTAAGATGTTTTTGTTGGAGAACTGTTTAAACATGCCAAAAAGTAAAAACCAATAATAAAATGTTGAAAACCACTTGGTTGGTTCGGACGCCAAAAAACCAACACCGAAAACCGAATGCCGAACGCCGGTTTCTGAAAGCCGAACGCCGGATGGCTTGGTTTTTGGTTTGGGCGAACACCAAGTGTTTTTAATGTCTTGAACAAGTTTGAAAAACATTTTTATGATACTATAAATGTAAAAATAGATTTTAGCCTAAAGAGCCAAGGCGTGAGGTTTGGGTCGGTCTTGATCACAATTGTGACCGACTTAACAATACTAAGACTACGGTCTTCGTTCTTGGTCTTCTTTTAGCTCTTGTTCTTATCTTCGTTCTTCGCCTTGTATATTCAATGACTTGTCTCGTTCTCGGCGGTTTGGCATTATCAAAACATGTCATAAAGACGAGCACGACTTTAGTACAAAAACGTGACAAACCCGTGTTTCAACAAACTTGACAAAAAATATTGTGTACCTCAACATTTTTCAAAAAATATTGTGTACCTCAACACTTTGAAATGTTAATTTGTAACTGTATGTATATAGTAGAATTTTCTTTAACAAATGCTATATATTTTATGTTATTTGATATTTGAAAAATTTTGTAACAATGAAAAATTATAAAAACAAAAATAATCATTTCACCCGTGTATGAGACGGATTAAAATACTAGTAGGGTGTAAACGGATATTAATCGGATCGGATGTGCCATTACCAAATCTGTATCCGTTTATTTTTTTCGGATATCGAATTCGGATACGGAACTTGACGGATACCTAAAATCAAAATTGTATCCGCATCCGTCGGATATCGGATATATCCATATCCGTTTCCAATCTTTAAAATCAAATTAAACAATACTTTAATTTTAAATCAGATTAAAGTCAAATTATTATTAAATCAACTATAATTTGTTATGGGATAATTATTTTATTTGTTTTCGTGAGTTATGATATTCTACGATAACTTGATATGATAAAAAGATATACAGAGCACACATGTACACATATTTTTTTATGTATGTACATATTTTTATGTGTCTACAAATTTATTTTGTATATAAAATGTCTTATATTTTGAAATATCAATAGAGAAACAAAATATAAACATAAAAAAATTAGGAAACACTATATATAACGGATCGGATATTCGGATAAACGGTTATTTAAATGGATGAATATTCGGATCGCATATACAATTACCAAATCTGTATCCGTTTAGTAATCAGATACGGATAATATCCGTTTAAAACGGATGCGGATATTTCCTTTTCAAATGGATACGGATGCGGACGATAATCAAATTTTCTGTATCAGTTGCTCTTTCAGTAGGCCTAGAATTTTAGGCCTGATAAACGAGGTAGATACTCAGGTATTAGCCGGATTACCCGAGAGGATGCCTCAGGCGCCCTAACTGGGATAATTCCATCGGAAGAAAATGAGCAAACACCAATAGAGAGAGTTCCAATGAGCCACCCGCTTCTCCAAGAACGTCTCGAACTCCAGCAGCGCCTGCCTCCTTGCGTACGCGTCTCAAGATCCCGGAATCCATTAAACAACCACAGCTTCGAGCAGAACTACAGAACATGCTGCACTATCCTCCTCTCCCTGACCCGCTCGAGGTGCCTTCCCAAGGGCTTGGCCTTGCACGCCCACATCATCAAGTCCGGAATTAACTCTGTTCCACTAGTTTGCCATCACCTCATAAACTTCTACTCCAAGCTCCAGCGCCCATTTGAGTCTACGCTCGTCTTTGGCGAAGCCCCCCTCAAGTCATCCACCACATGGAGCTCTGCCATCTCTTCGCTGGCCCAGAACGAGGCTCCTGGTATGGCACTTCAGTATTTTCGTGAAATGATACGCTCTGGTATCCGACCTGATGATCACACTTTCCCGTGTGCAATCAAATCTTCGGCCATGTTTTTGGATCATCATCTGGGGGGGATGATACATTGCTTTTCAGTGAAGACTGCATTCGATTTGGATGTTTTCGTTGGCAGTTCTGTGGTGGATATGTATGCAAAATGCGGGAAGATAGATATGGCCCGTAACATGTTTGACGAAATGCCTGAGAGGAATGTCGTTTCTTGGAGTGGGATGATATGTGGGTATGGTATGATGGGCGAGACTGACGAGGCTTTATGTCTCTTCAAGCTTGCTTTGGAAGAAGGTTTAGGTGTGAATGACTTCACGTATTCAAGTGTGATTCGGGTGTGTGGGACTTCCACCCTGCTTGAGTTAGGGAGGCAGATACATGGGCTGTGCTTGAAAACAAGCTATGATTTGTCAAGTTTTGTGGGAACTTCGTTAATATCTCTGTATTCTAAGTGCGGACTCGTGGAGGGTGCTTATCAAGTTTTCAATGAGGCGCCAGTCAAGAATTTGGGCATGTGGAATGCAATGTCAATAGCCTGTGCTCAACACGGGCACACCAACAAGGTTTTGAACTTGTTCAAACAAATGGAGAGAGATGCTGGAATGAAGCCGAATTTCATCACATTTTTGTGTGTGCTCTATGCTTGTAGTCATGCGGGGCTAGTTCAAGAAGGGAAATACTATTTCAAGTTAATGAAAGATTACGGTATTGAGCCAGGGGATCAGCATTATGCTTCGCTTGTTGACTGCCTTGGCCGAGCTGGAAACTTACAAGAAGCCTTAAAAGTGATTGAAGAAATGCCCATGAAACCTACTGAGTCTGTTTGGGGAGCATTATTGACTGGTTGTCGCATCCATCGAGACACTGACCTGGCAGCTTATGTGGCTGATAGAGTTTTCGAGCTGGGGCCCGTGAGCCCAGGCCTGCATGTGCTATTATCAAATACTTATGCAGCTGCTGGTAGATATGAAGATGCAGCCAAATCTAGGAAGATGTTGCAGGAAGGAGGTGTGAAAAAGGAAACAGCTTTGAGCTGGGTTGAAGAAAGAAACCGGACGCACACGTTTGCTACAGGTGATAGGCGACATGAAAGATATAAGGAGATCTATCAAAAGCTAGAAGAATTAGGAGATGAAATGGAGAAGGCCGGTTATGTTGCAGATACAAATTTTGTGTTGCAACAAGTGGGTGACCAAGAGAGGAGTGAGGCTATAAGATATCATAGTGAACGAATAGCCATTGCTTTTGCACTTATAACAATTCCACCAGAAAGGCCAATTAGAGTTATGAAAAATTTGCGTGTTTGCGGCGATTGTCACAATGCAATTAAATTTATGTCCAAGTGCACGGGGAGAATAATGATTGTGAGGGATAACAATCGGTTTCATCGGTTTGAGAATGGAAACTGCACATGTGGTGACTATTGGTGATTGTTAGACTCATAAGCTTCTCATGTTCTTGGTGAAGTGTTAAGTCCTTAATTATGTACTTCATTTCTAAAGGATTTTAAGACGTTAGAGCATTTTGTACTTAAATGAAATAAACAAATTTTCTAATAATGCACAAAAATTTGAAAGTGAAATAATTCAAAACGTGGATCTTATATGTAAGTAGTGGCATAAGTAAGAAGATAGATCGTTGGCACCTGGATGCCTTCCCCAACTGTCTGAGTCCAATCCGTTGGGATTTTACCCCGGCAGGGATGTTGATCAGTCGAGCTTCTGTGCCTCCCTTCGGACAAACCTCCCCCAGGAAGTAATGGGTTTCTTGGACTACCCGTGGGGAAATTCTTGAATACTTGAAGAACTTCGCAGGTGTATTCAAGCTTACTGAATTAGTGCCGGTTGCAACAAAGGTTAGATTTATGGGCGTGGCCTATGAAGCGAAGTGGAAAAATAGGTCACCGAGGAGAGATCATGGTGTTGATGCACTTGTTAATGAGGTGTGTGATCCTGTGGTGGTCTGCTTATTTAATTTTCCTATTCTACAAAGAATGTCCAACTATTGTAAAATGCCAAGCGTAATTTTATATTGTTAATGGACATAATGACACTAATACTTAGGTTGTAGTTCTTGATTGTGTGCTATTTGGTTAAAGCTGTTTGCTTGCTGAGTTTTGTATGTTTCATGTCTGTTATTTTTCTCATTGTTGTCGGTTATGTCACAGTTAGTTGAACGAAGTACATTCGAGATGCCGAGGGAGTTAAGAGGTTGTCTCAATGGGAATGTTGGCATTAATTTACAGACTTGAACTGCGACCAAAAGAACATTCAAAGATTAACGATAGACAATTGTGCCAAAACTCCTCCAAACACAATATTTTTTTTGAAGGCTCTCCAAACACAATTTAGTAAGTCATAAATTTAAATGATAAGTGTCTAACCATTTGTTAAATCACTTAAAGGAGAATAGTTAGAGTCTGTTACTGTGTCCTGACTTGTTGTACAAATCGTTTTTCGATTTCTTCCGTCTTGGAAATCTATTATAAACATATGAAACATAAATTAAAATTGAACCTGCAAAGATTCTATATAATTAGAATTTATTGATGTCTTAGTAATTTATAATAGCAAAAGGATATGTTGATTAACATTGTATCCCATACTTGTTTTATGCAATTCAAAGTGGTCGAAAATCAACATCTTCCATTGGACTGTCTTGGGTAAATCTAGATTTTGTGATATTTTGTTTTGTTCGAGCTAACACCAACTTTAAAATTACTAAGCAAAAACAATTTTAAATATATATTCACTACTCATTTTGTCCTAAAATTATGTTGCAGTTTGTTTTTTTTCTGGATTAATTTCTTAAACTCAAATTAATAATTTTATTTTGAAACAAAATATTGGTTTATATAAAAATAAATATTTTAATGGTCGAATTATAATATTCGTTACTGTGAAAAACAAATGAGAAGTTAATTTTATGATGAAGAGAGACTCAAAGTCTCTTAATAAATTACTCCATCCGTCACAATTTAAATCACCCATGTCGCTTAATAACATTTGATTGAAGTTATTTTAAAATCATTTTATATAAAAAAAGATGTAGAATTAAAAAAATAAAAATTTCATATTTTGAAACTAAATCAAAAGATCTACAAAAGTGATGGTGACATGACCATATTATTGGATCAAACTACTCACGCAAATAACAAACGAAAGTGGATGAAATTTGATCATAAGAATAATTCACATGCAATTTCATTTGAGACGGAGGGAGTAAATTATGTTCATATAATTCATCCATGATTTTCCGGCCCTGTAAATACTAAACAAATAAATAATCTCACTCTCTGCTTGAACATTTGTCCACATTTGACTTTTTTCTATTAAATTTGGTATACTTTGATCTTCAATTAAAAAAAATTGTATTAGATATTGATACAAAAATAGTTTTATTAGTTTTCTTATATCAAATATTATCAAAATATTATTTTATCTAATTAATATACAATATATATTTTATTTAATTATAGGTCAAAGGTTAAAAATAGTTGACCAAAAAAGTCAAACCTCGAAAAAAACTCGATGATAAAGATAGTAATATATAACAGCCAATAGCTCAATTTTTTTCCGGCCTAGGCTCGTTTCATATAAAACTTCTTTCCAAAGCCTAAGGCCCCGTTTGGTACATGGAATTCAAACTATAGAATTGGAATTGAGGATTTCAATAGAGCTGTAAACGGATAAAATCCGCCTCGGATATACAACATCCGTATCCGCATCCGTTTTGCCGGAACAACATCCGAATCCGCATCCGACGGATGTTTTAACTCTCAAATCCGAATCCGAAACCGTCGGATTATTTTTGGATTCGGATATATCCGTATCCGACCGAACATCCGTTTAAGTATCCGAATATCCGATTATCCGTTTACACAAATCCGAAAATCCAATACAGTACATGAATACAAACCACATGGTACACAATTACACGTCGTAAGAACATCGAAGTGGGGAAAGGGGAAACACCATTAACACCAATTAAGAATAGTGTGATTTCCTTTACAAATGCCAAAGCAAAATAAAAATTGACAAAAGTAAAACTGCAGATTTGCTCTTGAATTTCTTTCTCATCGATCGTCGTTTTTTCTCGGCTACATTTCCGGCAAAATCCGGAAGAATTTCATGCGGTTGGCTATAATCCGGAAGGATGAACACTGGAATTTGTGTATGTCTAAAATCAAGTACTTTCTTACCAATTTTTAGCAACTTTTTTTCAAAGTTTACACAGATCAATCATATTCGAAAATCGAAATTGCTGATTATCTCTGCATTTAGGTGTAAATGTGAGAAATTCTAATTCAACCGGACGGACAAAACTAAAGCGAATTGCAGGAGCTTGGAGGCATACCTCAGACAAAACTTCGACGTAGAGGCCGTCGCATGTCGAAGATGGCGTTCCGCCGTATGGCTCGTCAAGAACAACGAGAAAGGCAGAAATCTGCTTTGAGATTCACCGAGGGAGACGGTCGGACGTTGCGAGATTCAGAGATTTCTTTTCCTACGGGTTTGTTGAATGGATGGGGTAGGGTTAGATTTGTGATATATTCATATTGGGCAACTTTATTGGATTGACAATTGGAATAAATACATAACAAGATTTTATTTATTACATTTATTTTAATTTTGTATTCGGATAAACAGTTATTCTGATAAACGGTAATGGTTATTGAAACGGATGTCCATGCGGATCGAATTTTAAACGGATCGGATTCATAAATACCAAATCCGCATCCGTTTAGTAATCGGTTATCCCGGATCGGATGCGGATAATATCCGTTTAAAACGGATGCAGATTTTTTCTTTTTAAACGGATACGGATGCAGACAGTAATCGAATTTTCGACTATCCATTTACAGGCTTAGACTTCAATTCCAATTCTGGTATTTGGTAGCACAAAAATTATGTAGATTTGGAATTGATAGTGCAAAAAATAAATTGGAATTGGTGAATTCAATTCTATGGAATTGAATCTCGTGGAATTTCAATTCTAATTTAATTCCAATTCCATCAATTCCATATACCAAACGGACCCTAAGGCCGAAGAAAAAGGAGAAAAACAGCCGCTAGAGAGAACTTCCGCTGCCATTTTCTTCAAACACGCAGACCTGGTTTTTTGGTCAATCGGAGGTCCAAATCTTGTCCGATCGAGCTGAAATTTTAGGAGGAGTCTAAGGACTTGTGGAGCTTCAATCTGAACGGTGGAGATCAAATTTCAAAGGTTCAATATCAAGTTATGAGCTTCGCACCAGCTGCTGTTTTTTGGTGATTTCTTGCACTTTTGTTCATCTATTTTGATTCTAGTGCCTTCGTAGTGTTGTTAAGGGCTAGATATCATTGTGGTGCTGTTATATTGTGCATTTGTACTCTCAATTGGTGGTAGTGGAGTTGGTTGGACCGAAGTGTCTTGTGGTTTTTTACTCTTTCATATTGAAAGGGTTTTCTACGTTAAAATCTCGTGACTCATATCGCTTTATTTTTCGTGCTTGGATTATCTTGTTGCTTGGTGTTCTTTGGTGTGTTTGTTTGTTGCTCCTCACAGATTCATTCAAGAGGGAAAGGTGTTGATCTTTGGCAGTACACATTCATTTGTGTTCTTGCTTTCCCAACATTTAGTTTTCTTCCTATTGAGCCAACTGTATGAGCTTGATCCGTATTTTCAAATAATTGTTGTTGACGAGACAACGTGCGGATGCAAAAGTAGTAGAAGAAGGAGAAGAACCAACTTCATCATGATTAAAAGAACATGTTATTGATTCCGTGGAAAGTTCCAGGTTCGGTTGCTTTCCAGGATCGCCACGATTGGAAGAAAGAACAATTTCACCAAAACGAATATGATCTCCTTGTTGCTGTTGATTAGACAACATGACTGATTCATCAACAGCGCCTTTCAACTTCTTCTTCCTCATCGTCCTGGTAATCTTGCATAGTGCATATTTATTGGAGTTATGCAAGGTGAATTCGTGCATGCCCCACTCGTATTCCACTTCTCCAGGATGAATTGTGTTTGGCTTGTAGTTGAAGTACTTGTTGTACCCCAAAACCTGATCTTCATTATTCACCTTGGTTTCCCTAGTGCAGGACATGTGCCAAGTCCCATGTGCCCCAACCGTTCTTCCCATCTTTTTCGCACGGCAGCCTTTGCCAATGCTTTGCAGTGTGGTGTAGAAGTAACAATGCAACTCGGCCCCGCTGCCCGTGTCATCGTGAGCGTCTCCAAGATTCCAGATGGCAGAAGGGTGATCAGCGTAAATATCCAAACGGGTAATTCTCGGGTACAGCGTGGGTAACAGTAGCTTCTGAATCAGCCTCCTCAAGTAATGATCAAGAAGTTCAGAATCCGTTGGGCGGAACCTATAGCCAACTGGCGGTGGTGGGGCTTCAAATACATCAGCGGGAAGATTAGGGTTCTGATAAGCGGCAACTTCCATGGCGGGATGAGAGAAAGAATAGAAGATTATAGTGGAACCAGAAGTAAAAAAAAAGAAAAGAAAACAAGAAAAGATTTCGCAAGAATTGTATATTCTCTTTGATGGCCCAAGAATTGAATGAATGAAGAGTTAGTGGTGGGAAGTGTGTGTGTGTGTGTGTGTGTGTATATATATATATATTATGCGGCAGTGATTCGCAAGTAAGCAATAAGAGTAGTAATCGATTTTGGAAACTTAATTTTTTCCTAATATTCGAATTGTGAGTAAGCAATAAGAGTAATGATGGATTTTGGAAACTTGCAAAAAAATTGCTGCCAGGTATCTTCTATTATGTGGTAAGAACTGCCAGGTACCCCTAATTTTTAAGATATACTGTGAGGTAGCCCAAATTATAAAAAAATATACCAAGAGGTGATTTTCCATCCATTCTCCATCCATCCATCCTTTCTCGTGTACCATCATCATCCATCATCATCATCAATCATCATCATCATCATTCCCCCACCAACATCCCATCTTCTTCGTATATCCTCCTCTTCTTCTTTTTTTTATTTTTCTTCTTCTTTTTCTTCTTCTTCTTTCTTATTATTTACAAAGTATTATTATTATTTATTACAAAGTATTATTTTCTTCTTCTAAATTATTATACAATTATAATTTTTGATTATAATTATTAAAAAATTATAATTTTGATTAATAATAATAAATAATGTTTCATATTAAAAGAAGATGGAGATGATAAATAATAATACTTCATTATAAAAGAAGAAGAAGATAATAATAATAAGTAATAATAATTATAATAATTTTTAATTAATTATCAAAGTGATATTTTTACTTCCACCCCGACAGTTCTAAGAACAAAATTAGGGGTTCCAAACAGTAATTTTTTTTTTTTTACATTAATGGAGATTGTGAAAGATTAATGAAGAATACAATTTTTTGGTGGGAGCTTTAGTGTTTTTTTGTTAAAAATATAGTAGAAAAACAAAAAATTACTACCCCAGTGTCCCGTTCATAAAATTGACGATTCCTACCCCCCTAACCCCCTCGGTAAATCCCCCACCCCGCCCCAACCCGAACACCCCCCACCCCCTTCAATTGCATCCCACAAATTGATTTTGACTTTGACGTCAAAATTTGACTCCAAAGTCAAAATCAATTGTGGGGTGCAATTGAAGGGGGTGGGGGGTGTGTTTGGGTCGGGGCAGGGTGGGGGGTTTACCGGGGTGTTAGGTGGGGTAGGAACTGTCAATTTTACGAACGGGACACCGGAGAGCCCCCGGTCATCCCATGACATTGCCGGGCAATGTCATGGGAACCTTGCCCAATAACTAAATAATAATAATAATAACAATAATAATAATAATAACAACAACAACAATAACAACAACAACAACAACAACAACAACAACAACAACAACAACAATAATAATAATAATAATAATAGAAGGAGAAGAAGAAGAAATAAGGGTGAGTGTGGGGGGGGATGTCTGGAAGATGAAAAGTTGAAAGGGGGGAGGAGGAGGAGAAGAAGAAGAAAGAAGAAGAAGAAAGAAAAAAAAGAGGAGGAGGATGTACGAAGAAATGGGATGATGGTGCTGGAATAATAATGATGATGATGATTGATGATGATGATGGATGATGATGATGGTGCTACACTTACCGAAGAAAGAAGGCATGGATGGAGATTGGATGGAAAATCACCTCTTGGTATATTTTTTTATAATTTAGAGTACCTGAGAGTATATTTCAAAAAAATTAAGGGTACCTGGCAGTTCTTACTATAAAATAAAAGGTACGTGGCAACAATTTTTTGTGGAAACTTGTTTTTGCCCGTTATTTGAATTCTCATTTGACCATTAAATTTTTGTTTCCAAATTTTAGTGCTCCGTCCGTATCTGACAATTGTAATACGGAGTACTTTGCGAATTTATATTTGAGAATTTAATTTGTACTCCTTGACTAGTATTTGATAATTATATGGATGGGAGATGGACCAAAATAGGAGTAAAAGATATGTTATATGCCAAAATAGGAGTTAAAACTTAAACTCCCTCAAATAGAAGTAACTAACTTAACAAGACCTCCCGTAGCTAGTATGCACCAAGAATATCATATTTTCTCTTCAAACACCTTCCATTAGCCATCCGAACAAAAAAATCTAGTTTTTTTTATTAAATAAATTATTTAGTCTTCATATTTTAGCCCAATTTCTTGGTCTGAACAAAAATCCACCCAAAATTTTTAAAACCATTTCTTTTGAATTCTATTTAATTTCCCAACAAAGAATAGCAAAACTGCTTCCTTTATTGTTCCTCCTCCCTCGTCGTCGCTATAGTAAAGAATACTCTTTATACGAAGTGCCATCGAAGCCATAATACCAACAATTACAATCCATAATGCCAACTATTATACTAAATAAGTACAAATATGCCATTGTATAAGGTAAAAAAGAAAGAAAAGTGCCAAACATGGCACTGTCTAAGCACAAATATGCCAGTGTAGAATATCAAAAAGAAAGAAATACGCAAAGAAGTAATTTGATAGTGAATTAATTACAAATTTACAAATTTGATTCTCAGAGTGTCTGATGGCTAATACGCTTGTATTCAGGGATGACAAGAGATAATTTTGGATATTCATGACTACTTTAAATATTATATAGTCATTCCAAAAAATATATATTATATATCGAACAATAAAAATTAAAGCCACCAAAATGAAAAAGCTGTGTTAGATTGGGGCATCGGATGAAGTAGGATCATGAAGGTTCAATGTTGACCCCCACATGTAAAGCTCCTCGCTTAATCAAATAACAATCACCGGAAAGGTGTTCCCTCACCCATACTTTTTCTCATAAAGGTCTAATTTGATTTTTGTGGCCAAGAGCAAATAAAAAATAGCTAATTACTCCTATTTAGGGTATTTTATGTTTGAACTCCTATTTTGAGGATATAACACATGTTTTACTCCTATTTAAGGGGTTTCTTTATATGGATATATTTAAAATTGCATACTCTCTCTGTCCCAAATAAACTGTCTGTTAATTATTCATAGAGTTAAATGTCATTCAATTTTTTTTTGTTAGTCATTTTTAAAAATAATATGAGTATATTATTTCTAGTTTTGTAGTTTTTTGATGTAATTTTTAAATATGTATTTTCTATTCTACATCAATTTTCATTGTAAATCAAAACGGTCAACTTAAATTGGGACGTAGAGAGTATGAATTTTTACACTTAATTTCACTCTTTGGCTATTTTCGTTTCGAATTTACAGTCAAAGTATTATACCATTTGACTAGTTCCACAGTTGACTTTTTTGAGTAAATAAAGCTTTATGAAATCAAATTTAATAAAATGAACCTAATTTTACTTAATTTATATTATAACTAAATATATTTTTTTCAATCAAAGTATTGCATAGTTTAACCAAAAAAGTCAAATTGCAATAGAATATCAATAAAACATTTTATACGGAGTATACAATAATATTCTTTTTGGAGTATAAAATTTATTTTGAAATTTTGTATGATTATTTAAATAAATTAGATTAAAAATAAATCTGATCAAGTCTTGTAATCTCAAAAAGGACAATAAATTAGGGACAGTTATTGCTAAATCAACCCTAGGGGTGCATACAAATCAAATAAAATGTATTCGATTCGTGATTCGTATTCGAAAAGGATGATTCGTATTCGCTATATTCGAATTCGAATCCGAATACAAATCATATTTTAGATTCGAATTATTTTTGAATTCGAATACAAATATTAATAGATTCGATTCGTTTATTATTCGAATTATTTGAATATTATAATTTACAAATAAATTTATATATATTCTAATACATTAAATATTTGTGTACATATTTTATCATATTTTAATATATTAAATTTTTGTGTACATATAAATTTATATATATTCGAATATTGTAATTTATAAATAAATTTATATATATTCTAACATATTTTTACTACATTTTACATTATTATAAAATAATAATTTAATGTCTTTAAGAAATCTGTTTTAAGAAAAAAATACTAATATTTTCGAATTTGAATATTCGAATACGAATTCAAACACGTCAAATATCTATCGAATCGAATACGAATATTTTTTAAAATTCAAATTATATACGAATCCGAATTCGAATACACATCACTTTAATCGAATACGAATCGAATAGTGAAATATTTGCTTCGATTCGATTCGTATACACCCCTAATCAACCCCACATTGTAGTACATAGGGGATGAAAATCGAACTTGAATTAGAGACAATTATGGCTAAACTAGGAAAATCTCTCTCTAGTCTCTTTCCCTCTCTCTCTCTTCTTTTCCCTTCCACCCTCTAACCAACCTTCACATTCTCCTTTGCCACATCATTTTTTCTCCATCTATTCCACCTATTTAAAGTAGCTCTATACGAAAGTGTCATTAGTGCAAAATATGAATACTACTAAAACACGTCTCACCAAGGCGGGTCTGAAATGTGAAAAAATGAGATTGTCATTGCGAAAAACTTTCTTGTTGGACCATATTTAAATTTTTTTAGAATACTTGTACTTTAAAATTAGATCTAAATTTAATTTTTAATAGCCACTTTGAATATTAAAATATTAATTTATATTAAATTTAAAAATATCAAGTATTTATAATAATTAACATCTAACAATATTGAGTCCTAGAAATTTGAGACTACTCCTGTGTAGCTGCACACCTTACACACCTTTCGGGCCACCCATGCACTGATGCACCTCACTAAAGCACTAAACTTTTTATTTTATACAAAATTAGATCTAAGTGAGCGAATACTCATTCATGTTCAATTATATTCTTATTAATGATTAGTGGTTGATCTTCATATTGAAGTTGATCGGGCAAGTGAGCGTGACAACGTGAAAATATAAAAAAGTCGGGAGCAATGGTTTTAATTATCAAATTTAGAAGTATTCTTGTGAATTTTTGCTATGGATAACCACATTTAATTAGGGATCAATTTATATAATTACGCTAATAATATTAATAATCATAATTATAATATGGCCCGGTTCCATGGCCACTGGATTCCAGTGGCCATGGAACCGGGCCGATTATAATAATCCTTGGTAATAATAATAATACCCTTTTCTTTCCTAAAGGGTTTGCATAGTTTTGATATGGGAGTCTAAGGCATCATATTGATCATTTTTTTTGAAGCAAACTTAATATTAATTCATGAGATTAGGCAAAATAAAGTCCGGTGGGGAGGAAATCCATACACCACATGAAACCTTTGCCTTCCTAGCCAAAGAATGAGCAATAATATTTTTTGAACGAGAAATAAACAGAAAATTAACAACATTGAATTCCAAGCCTAACAACCGACAATCCTCGATAAGCGAGCCAAAGTAGGATAGAGAGGTAAAAGAGATGTCCTTAAGGGCCTGAACCACCCTTTGACAATCCGAGAAGAGGTCCACATCCACTACTCCTCTAGCCTTCAACCACGACAGGGCCTCTCGGACGGCCATTACTTCCGCCAATAAAGGATCCGAGGGACATCTCAACATACCATTAGAGGCACCATAAAACTTTCCAGCAAGATCAAAAGCTACACAACCAAACGCCACACCACCCGATTGAACAAAAAGAGCGACATCAACAAAACAACGAAAAGTATTTGGCCGAGGTTCCTCCTCAAATCGGGGCTGTTGAGGCATCCCCCCCACCGCCATACCTTGTCCTTCGTAGCAAACTGCCTGAACCCAGCTCGCGATGACCCACGATGACGGGACCCTCCACTCCCAAGTCACCATATTGCGAGCTTTCCACAAAGCCCAAATTGAACCCGCCACCAAACGTAATTCCCTATTAGAGAGAGAATTAAAAAGCTGCTGGAACCAGTGGGCAAAAGAAAATGTCATCCCCCAATTGCTTTCTCCAAAAACAATCTGCCACACCATTTTAGCCAAAGGACACTCAAGAAAAATATGTGTAACGCCCCAAAACATACTTTAGAATTATGAATAAAATAATTATTCCATTAATCAAATTTGTTTTGATTAAAATAAATTATTGTTGGGCTTTAGGCCAAAATAATATGTGTTTTATATATACAATATTACCATCAGGATAAGTCTCATAGAGATAAATCCAAAATATTGACTTATTGTGTGACCTTAATTGGAAACCTAAGTACAGACCCAAATCAAGGATAAATGAAGAAATTTGTTTATGAACTTTGAAATGATTTATTGAAATAAATCATGAGAATAAATAATATGAATTTAGTATGAGCATTATTTTTAGTAAAAGTCAAACAAATCAATTTTGACTCTGTCAAAGTCAAACACCAAAAATATGATGTCGGAAAAAGTGTTACAAATAAATATAAAAATTATATCGTTGGATAGAGTTTAACTGTCTGATCGCAACGGTGCAAACGGAATTCATTTCGGAGAAAGTTAGACCAAAAAGTGTACCCCGACTGGAACGGAAACTGGTCCCAGGGAATTGCGTATCAAATTTTGGAGATCGCCGCTGAATCCACTCAAGCTATCGTGAGTCACAAATGACTCAGCAACAATTGGCTACTTGCTTCTCCAAATGCTATAAATGAGCACCCTCACTTCTCTCAATTCTGCACAAAACTTCCTGAAATTAGTACCAAAAGAATATTGAGAGTGAGGGGAGTAATTTGATAGTATTAATTGCCGTCGAGGTCGCTGGAGCAAGCCGTGGTGTTCGCCGGAAGTTTCATCGTCCAATCGTCGGAATCATCATTTAGCTCCGAGGTAAGCCCGTAGATATATCTAGTGATTAGAATGTTCGTATAGATCGTTTCTACGTTCATAAACGGTCGTTTGGTTGAGTTTTGTGTTTGACATGTTTGAAGAACCAAGAATCATAAACCTTGAAATTGTTGTTAAAACTTCAAATTAATGGTATTTAAATGATCTATTAACATTGTAGAACATTTCTATAAAGTTTAATTGAAGTTTGGAAACCAAAAACGGAAATTTCGAAATTGGAGTCGCAAGGTTGAAGAAGATGAACAGTAACCTGAAACTACACTGTCTGGATCGATCACACTGCCCTGATCAGTCACACTGCCCTGATCGATCACACTGCCTCGATCGATCCCCTGAAAATCAGATCCGAAAATTTGTCCAAAAATGCTTTTTTTGAGCTCTAAAATCCTATTTCTGATACCAATTGATTACGATCATTATAAAAATGATTTACCACAATAAAAATGATGTTTTTGAAAAATAAAAATGTTATGTGATGCATGACAGTAAGTTCGAGTGTTAACACTCGAAGCTAGGCCGCTATTTGCTATCGAATGTTATGTTGATTGATTATTATGGTGAATGATTATTATGATGATTATGACTTGATGAAACCACTGATTGTTGAGGATTAAATTATGAGTTGAAATGAATATTTTGATGATTATGAAATGATTTGGATTGTAAGGATATCTAGAAGAACTCTTAGATATACCTAGGTTGATGATGGGGTCCTAAGACTATATCTATAAGACCTCTAAGATAGCTTCGAAATAGGCCTTGCGGGTATATTATGAATATTCGGTGGCCTGGGTTAAAACGTACGTACGTGATCTACAAACCAAACTAGAGGAACTCGTTTGGGGATACCACCCAACCCGATAGTGAGCATTCCGCTGTTCGGTTTTTGGATGACCTTAAGCGAAGGTAAGTTTAAATTTTTAAAAACCTCTTTTTGAAAACTTGTATCTTAAACTAGGCCTAGCTTAAAGGTTAGTTAAGTGTACCTTAAACTGGAACATAGTTTATCTATATTAAACTAGAATTTGTTTAAGAGTTGGTAAACATCAGATATATTGGCCTTAGACTAAGAATAGTTTAAGAATATTGTTGAATGACAAATGATGAATATTCTATGACGAATGTTGAATAAAAATGTTGAATATGAATGATGAATATACATGTTGAATGATTGAATAATGAATGTTGAAAATTGAAAATTGATTATTGAATATCTGAACTAAACATTATGGGCATGATATCAAATGATTTGATTATGAATTGAGATTCTGTTTATATGGATGTTCGACGCATTAGATATGCTTACTCAGTTTTACCGTTGAGCGTGTAGTATGTTTTATTTTCTACACGCAGGTTAATAAAAAGAATGATGTGACGTGATCCTGGAGGCAGACGGAGGCGAGATTGTCGGAATGGATGTGATGGTTTTAATTATGATTGTGATTATGATTTGTTAAGCTTTCGCAATATTGTTGAATACTCCGTACTGTATATGTTATAAAAAAATATTATTGTGATAAATAAAAGTGTTTGAAAAGTTTTTAAATTTTACGATTACCAAGTTAATACTTTAGTCTAAAAGGGGCTGCAGACCTGGACGGATTAGGGTGTTACAATATGTTCCAAGGACTCTGGGCCATTACCACAACTAGCACATGCATTGACAAGAGAAATACCTTTCGAGATGAGAGCCAGAATAGTAGGTAGAAGACCTCGGAGTGCACGCCAAAGGCAAATTTTAGCTTTAGATAAAACTGGAATACGCCACAGCCAGATCCAGTCAGAGCAACCAGAGACCGCGGTCGCCTCACCTATAAGTCGCCTATACGTTCCTTTGACGGAGTACATGCCCTTTGTATCCCCGCTCCAAAACCATCCATCTGGTTTGTACAAAGCAATAGGAGTTTTCCGAATCAAATTGACGTCCCTTCCCACAAAGAGAGTCTGAAGTAGTTCTTCATCCCAACCACTTCTATCTCGGTCTAAAAGAAAAGATACCGGCATATTGGGAAAGTAGGGAGGACTAGGTGTGGACACCATAGGAGAGTTATCATCCATGAGCCAAAGGGAGTCCCAAATAGGAGTATGAGCTCCATTCCCAACTCGCGGACGCAAACCCTTAAGCAACAAATCATGGGTCTCCAAAATACTCCGCCAACAGTAACTAAGTGAACCTCCAAGCTTCGCCTCCAGAAAAGATGATTTGGGAAAATACCTGGCTTTAAAGACTCTAGAAACCAAGGACTCCGGTCGGGTTAGGAACCTCCATCCCTGTTTCCCTAGCATTGCAATATTAAAAGCATGTATTTGTCTAAACCCCAGCCCACAAAACTTCTTAGGGAGGGAAAGGCGTTTCCATGATAGCCAATGAACACCGAATGAGTTTAGGCCTTTACTCTGCCACCAAAAGCTATTCATTAGATTCTTAATCTTCCGACAAATCGAGTGTGGGAGCAAGAATACACTCATAGCATACTGAGGCATCGCCTGCGCTATGGTCTTCAACAAGATCTCTTTACCTGCTTTTGATAACAGATGCTTGCTCCACCCTCCTATGCGATGATAGATTTTCTCAAGAATATAGTTAAATACTCCCACCTTATCTTTCACAATAAAAGAAGGCAGCCCCAGGTACTTACCAAAGTTGGCAGCTTGTGTAACCCCAAAGAATTGTGCCAACATGTCCCGTGTCTGTGTCAGAGTATTACTACTAAAGGAGATAGTAGACTTGTTAAAGTTGACAACTTGCCCTGAAATTCTTGAATATTCCCCAAGGCACTCCTTCACCACCATTGCTTCTTCAAAAGTTGCACGGAAGAATAAGAGGCTATCATCAGCAAACCGTAAGTGGGAAACAGAAGGTGCTCCCCTTCCAACTCGAATCTCGTGTAAACGACCAGTGTGTTCTGCAATCTGCAGGAGTAGAGACAAGCCTTATGCACACAAAATGAATAAATATGGACTTAGCAGGTCACCCTGACGTAAACCTCGTGTTGGTAAGATCGGGTCAGAGAGAACACCATTCACCAAAATACGATAACGAACCGTGGTCACACACAAATTAATGAGGCTAATCCATTGGTCACTAAAGCCCAGACACTGCAACATATTCCGTAGGAAACCCCATTCCATCCGGTCATAGGCCTTAGCCATATCAAGCTTCAGGCCCACCCATCCCATACTTCCCAATCGCTTTCTACGAAGAAAATGACCCACTTCCGCAGCCAACAAGATATTGTCAGTGATAAGTCTACCTCGCAAAAATGCAGATTGGGTCTGAGAGATGATACCTTGAAGGATAATTTTTAATCGATTGGCCACCATCTTTGCAATAATTTTATAAATCACATTACATAAAGCAATAGGCCGTAGATCCGCGACAGACTCCGAGGACTGCTTTTTAGGGATCAACACAAGTGTAGCATCATTCATCCCATGTGGAAAGATAAATCATTAATGCAGGACAACACAAACTGAGTAATATCTGGCCGAACAACATCCCAAGATTTTTGGAAAAATCCTGGATTCATACCATCAGGACCTGGGGATTTATCCGGATGCATGGAGAACAAAGCGGCATGGACCTCTTGCTCTGTAAAAGGCCTTACTAGTTCAGCATTTTGATCCTGGGAGACTCGTGAGACGATATGGCGAAAAAAATCAGACTGAGCACCTCCAACCGTTTGAAAGATACTTGAGAAATACCCAGAAACCAAGGGTATGAGTGCCTCCCCCTCTTGCCAAACCCCATTTTCATCCTTTAGTCTATGAATGACATTCTTTTTCCGCCTCTAAGAAGCATAGTTATGGGAAAAACGAGTATTCCTATCACCGGAACGAAGCCAATGTTGTTTAGCCCTTTGCCGCCAATAAATGTCATCTTGATCCAAAAGCTTCCTCAGTTCTACGTCCGCTTCCCTCCAAGACCTCAGCCCATCCTCATCATGACGCCCCCGTAATTTCTCAATAATCTTCTTCAATTCCTTAATTCTTTTGCCAAACTTTTGGACCCTTTATAAGTACATTTTGTACTTATTATTTTTCTTATATTTAAACGTTTTTGTATGTAAATAAAATTAATTAAGGTAAAAATATTTTTTTTCTTTTCTAAATTTCTCAAAGTTGTCATTTTGTTTATAAAAAAGGGTGTTCAAAACAAATTTGGAATTTTCAAACAGAAACTTGTTCAAAGAGAGTAAAAACTTGAAAGAAAATAAAATATTTGAGACATATAAGTTCAATTTCGTCCATAGCTCCAGAAGAGAAAAATGTTCAGCACAAAATATGGAACTTGCCACAGAAATTCGAAGCCCAAAAACCAAGGTTGGGCCGGGAAACATGCTGGGCGACCGCCCCGGACACAGCTCCGGGATTCAATTGCAAGATAAGGCAAGAAAACGACACATTTTGTAGGAATATTTTTATCGACTGCGGGGCGACCGCCCCGGACCCAGCCCCGGAATCCAAACGGCAGCTAATTGCAACTGGCAGCAACTTGGGGCGGAATATTCGGATATTCCTCCTAGGGCGACCTTCCGGGCGGCCGCCCCCCTCCCCGCCCCGGAGATTCCTAGGCCTATAAAAGGCAGCGTCGATCAGCCTTCTTCTTCATCATCCTCTCTTCGTTTTTTTCCTCTCCATAGCAGCGAGAATCATTATAAAATTGTAGTTTTAGTTTATTTTGGGAGTTTCAGTTCCAGTACTGTTCCAATTCCGCTTTTCTGGAAGTTGTAAGTTTCTTTAATTAATATTATAAACATGTTTTGTTATTCCATTTGTGCACTTTTTATTATTACTATGTCTTTTTAAACATATTAGGAATGTGAATTGAAATTAGGGTAGTAGGTATGTAGGAAAAATAATTGTGTTGGAGTATTAAATTTAATTAATTGAAATGTTAAGTTGCTAGTAATTGTTGAATGTTCTAATTAATTAATCTGGCCAATTTATTAATTAATGTTGAAAAAAATTATTATGTCCATTTGTCAATGAATGAGAAAAATAATTTAGTCAATCAATTATAGCACATTAATAATGCCTAGAGATAGGATAAAATTAATGGAGTTATTGTGACAGAATTACTCACTAGTTAAATTAATTAGTTAATTTAATAATCCAACTAGTTAAATTATCTGAAATATTCCTACTACCTGAAATCAATTCATATTCCTTTTTATCAAACAATTATTTTATTACTCTGTCCAACTCAGTTTAATTCCAAACCAAAAATACTTTTCGAATTTAGAAGGCTTCCAAAACCAATGAGTAAAACTTTGCCTAACTAGATTTTAATAGAAAATTTATTTTAACACCAATCCACGTGAATACGACACGGGAATAAATTGATCTCTTTTAGAGTGAAATTTACTACCGCTAAAACTAACTCGTCAACCCTGTCTCCTCCCCATGCTAGGAATGCGCGTCCACAGTAGCCCAACCTGTCGAGCATAGGTCTGCCCCTGGACCCCCTCCACGCGTCTTCAAGAATTGACCGATAGCCCTCCTCTTGAAGCCATGCATTCTCAAACCGAAATCGCTGAGGTCCCAAATGCATTCTTCCTCCATAAATATACACAAGCAACGCTGAATGGTCAAATGTTCTCATGGCCCTATTGATGACACAAGCATTCTTAAAAACATCCATCCACTCACCTGTCGCAACTGCCCTGTCCAGTCTCTCTTCCACCCAAGTAGGGGACCCTCGGCCACGTTGCCATGTAAATGGATAGCCACGCATCCCTAAATCCAATAGCCCACAATCTGTCAAAGCATTATTATATCCCTCCATCAGATAAAAGGGATGGGGGCGACCTCCCTTTTTTTCCGAAGCTGCACATAAGTCATTAAAGTCACCAACCACTAGCCACGGTAAAGATGATTTAGTTCTCAAAGCCCTTAGGAGATTCCAAGAATCAGCTCTCTGATCCCTACGAGGGTTTCCATAAAAGCCAGTGAAGCGCCAAAGGGGTCCTTGACCGAGGGAAATCTCAATATCAATATGAAATCTTGAAAAACTGATCAAGCGGGCTGTGTTATTAGTCCTCCAAAGGAGAGCAAGGCCGCCACTAAAACCAACACTATCAACCACAAAAACGCCTTCAAAACCCAGCTTATCTTAATCTCATCTACTTTTACTCTATTGTCTTTAATTTCAATAAGAAAGATAAAGTCAGGCTTTATTGCAGACGCTACGTCTGCTACTTCCTGAACTGTCCGCCGGTTGCACAACTCGCGGCCGTTCCAACTAATGATACTCATTGCTCCTGGCGGGCCGGGAAGCCAGAACCCGCCCCACCATAGTTTTTTGACACTTCCAAAGCCTGGGTTGTTGAAACCTCCACCACCGAGCCTCCCACCTGGCCACGCTTTCGTTTCGCATGCACTTCCAGTTCAATATCCTCCTCCGTAACTCCCATATGCAAAGTGGTATTCATTCCGGAACCAGCTCCCTGTTCCAAGTCATCAAATCTCAGCCATGGTCACCCAATATCAAGCATCCGACGATGATTGTTGGCCCGTAAGGATCCATCATAAGGATACTCATCTGGTTGAAGAGAAGAAAGCAATGCTGCCCTGCAGTGTTTAGCAAGATGTCCCACAATTTCACAGAAGAAACGGAAGGTTGTGAGTCGTTCATACTTAAATTGAACCCAAGAGATAGCTCCATCCCGCTGCGTGAGCTTCATACGGCGTTTCAATGGTCTACGCACATCAATCGCCACTCGTATACGATGAAACCCTTGGTCTAACCTTGGCTTGTTCACAGTATCCAGATAACGAAATTCACCCACAAATCTGCCTACTGCCTCTAGAACAGTCGACGACGAATAGCCAATTGGTAGGCCATGCGCTAAAACCCAAATATCCATCCACATCAGATCATCAACAGATGGAATCTCCCCTTGTCTCAAAGGTTTGCAGAGAAGCATGGAGTTTTCAAAGGAGCAGGGCCCCTCATCCAAAATACGCTCCGCATCTTTCTTGTGATAGAAATTGTAACACCCTAATCCGTCCAGGTCTGCAGCCCATTCGGACTAAAGTATTTAACTTGGTAATCGTAAAATTTAAAACTTTTCAAACACACTTTATTAATCTCAATAATATTTTTCATAACATATACAGTACGGAGTATTTAACAATATTGCGGAAGCGAATTTAATATTGACATATCATAAATCATTTCAAAACTTGTCACATCCATCCCGACAATCTCGCCCCATCTGCCGCCAAGATCACATTAATCTTTCTGTTTACCTACGTGTAGCAAATAAAACACACTACACGCTCAGCGGTGAAGCTGAGTAAGCATATCTAAAGCGTCGAACATCCAAATAAATTGAATCTCAATTCATAATCAACCATTTGATATCATGCACACAATATATGATTCAAACATTCATGATATTCTCAATATTTTATTCCAAGTCATTTGATATTCAATAT